TCTCTCTCTCTCTCTCTCTCTCTCTCTCTCTCTCTCTCTCTCTCTCTGAGGCAGGCTCGGGACAGGAGCAGGAAAGGAGTCAAAGCCAGGCAGGTCACTGTGAGGCAGAGAGGAGGGCCCAGGTGATGCAGGGTACTAGGGTTAGGTATTGGGGTTTGTGGGGGGGTGTCCTGTACAGAGTGGGAACTAGGGCTGTGCAGTGGGGCTCCGGCCAGACAGGACAGGAGCTGGTGAAGGATAGAAACAGCGAGGTGGCTGCGGCTGAGGGAAGAGGAGGGAGAGGGAAGATGGAGTCAAAGCACAGCATTTGGAAACAGAGGAAAGGCTAACAAGCAGGACACGGCAGCACTTCTCTGTAATCCCAGTACACAGAAGTCTGAGGCAGAAGGACTGCCATGGATACTACATCATGAGACACTAGCTCAGAACTTGTTCTCAAGAGCTGGGCAGAAGATGTTACAAGTATTGGCTGTGCAAGCATTAGGACCTGAGCTGAACCCTCCAAGACCCAGGTAAAAAGTCAGGTGTGGTGATGTGTGCCTGTAAGCCCAAAGCTGGGTGTGGGAGGACAGTAGGATTCCCCTGGGACTTGCTGGACAGTCAGTATAGCCTAACAGGAACTCTGCACTCGGTGAGAGAGACCCTACCCAAGGTGGCAAGTGAATGACGAAGATACTTGAGGCCCATGTCTGGCTTCTGCCACCTGACTCCTCCTTCCAAAACCAGACTAAACCAAAAAGCCAGTGAAAAGGCACATGGACAGATCTCCCACACCAGTAAGGGGGGAACCCATCTGATGTCATAAGCCAATTTGGGAAGCTAGACTATTGGTAGAAACTGAGCAACTTGAGAAGATGGGGGACCAGTTGTCAGGATGTAGAGAACACAGCTGAAGGTTGACAACCGCTGGACAGCCAAAGGCTCTAGTGTGGGATTTAGGCAAGCCCCTGACTTGGGGGTTGTACTATTAGGCTCTAGGAAAAACAAACTAGAGGGACATCTAAGGTCCTAAGGTCGGTAAGGGGTTGGGTTCCTTAGAAAGACTGGAGAAGCCCAGAGATGATCAGGTGGCTAAGGAAGAGGAGAAAGTTCTGGAAAATGGGAGGGAAAAGAGGCCTGACATGGGAGCAAGGACTGTGAGGGACTTGGCAATGTGCAGGGGCAGAGAGGGAGGAGCAGGTGGTGCTTCAGGATGTAGCAGGGGCGAGGGGAGAGAGGAAAGGGATGTCCAGGGCCAAAGGCAGCATGAGAGTCAGGGCTCTGACCCCTCCCGCTTCCCCATCTCACCAATTCCTCCTAGGGACAGGGCAAGGAACAGGATCAGGAACCACATGGTAACAGGTGTCCAGGAGCAGCAGACGGTGAGCTTGGAGCTGAGAAGCCTCCTCGGGGAGCCTTTAAAAACCCTCATTCTCCCCCCCAGCCCCACCCCTGCCCTGTTGGCACCCAGATGCCGGCCAAGGCCCTGCCCTTGCTGACGGAGGTGGACCTGCTCCCACCCTCATGGCTGTGGGAGGGGAGGGCCTCATTGCACCTGCTGTCCAGTAGGCCCTAGGTCACCCTGGATGCCTTCCCAGGGCTAAGATTGGGTGGGGCAGGGCCTGCTGCTCCTGGAGCTGTCTGTGTTCCGGGGACCATAGCCAGATGGCAAGGTCAGGGATGATGGTGAAGGGGTATGCTAGGAGGGTGGAAGAGGAAGTGACCCCCAACACACAGCTCTAAGGAAGGTCCTGTACCTCAAGACCAAGATTATCCTCAGAAACCAGCAGTTAGAACCAAGTCTTTGCACCAGTGGTAGCCAAGAGGGCTGCAAGCCCTCTGCAGATACAAATCCTTTTTTTTTTTTTTTTGAGAAGGCCAAAATTCTTACCTTCCTGGACTTGGACTCTGAATCACTCATTTTACTGCTCCTATGAGAAGTCTGGGAGCTGGGTGTAGTGGTGTACACCTTCAATCCCAGCACTTTGAAGTAGAGGCAGGTGGATCTCTGTGATTTTAGGCTCCAGTAGTCTGTGATGTAGACCAACCTAGTCTACACAGTGAGTTTTAGGACAGCCAGGGTTATATATAGAGCTGTCTCAAAACAAACCAATAAAATAAAATAAAATAAAATAAAATAAAATAAAATAAAATAAAATAAAATAAAATAAAATAAAATAAAATAAATAGAAGTTATGGTGCACATTACCATCACTCCGTGATTCAAGAATATGAGAATTCAGGTTATTCAAGGGGAGCGTCACCAATCTTTCTCGTCATTTGTTTCCTAGATAAGGGTACTCAAGGTCATATCCTTCAAAGTCCCAAAGATCTGGACTAGCTTCCTTCCCTGGGCAAGATTATCACCACAGAGCCTGCATGGTAGTACACACCTGGAACCTCAGCCCTTGGGAAATGGAGGCAGAGGATCAGGAGTTGTTCTAGGTCAGTCTACATGAGACCTTGTCTTTCAGTGGGAGAGGGTGGGATGGGGATGCAGGCTAACTGGTGTACTCATCGCCTAGGATCCTCGAGGCCCTGGGTTCCAGTCACAGGGCTCTGTATAACCAGGTGAGGGGGTGGATGCCTGTAAAACCAGCACGTGTGGTGCGGAGGCAGGGGGATAAGAAGTTCAAGGTAATCCTTGACTAACAGGAGAAGATGAATAAGTAAATAAATAAATAAATAAATAAATAAATAGATATTCCGAGGCTGGTGAGATGTCTCAGTGGGTAAGGTGTCTGCTACCAAGCTTGACAACTTTTAAATTCAATCCTGACTGGTAGAAGGAAGCCAACTCTCATGTCATTTGACAGCCACACCCACCCACACACAATAAAGGCCTGTAATAAAAACAATATCAGAAGTTGCAATGATAATCCCTCACTCAATCTAATCTGTTGATTTCAATGATCAAAATCAAGGGCTTCAACATTCAGTGACCCTAAGAATCACATTTTGGGGTCTCTGAAGAGAATCAGAAACTGAACTCCTATATCCTGGATGGTAAAGTCACAGGCTTCAAACCTGAGACCTGGATACAATCAGCAAGGCAGCTCACCTTGTCCAAGCCTGTATTGTATGTCACCAATGCAGCCAAGGCAAAGAGAATGTTTCCCTTATTGCCTTGGCTACCAAGAAGCCTAGAACTAATGGTGGATCTTGGAAATCTAGTATTAGGTCCTCTTACTGGGATGTACAGCTCATGAGTGTGGACAGAGTGCCAGACACAGTTCTGATCCACTAAGATGCACAGCTCATTTAATCTTCACAGATACCCTAGGAGACAAATGCTATGGTGACCTATTTCACAGATGGGAAAACCAAGGATGAGTGAGGTCACACCCCTGATCCAGTATTTGACATGTAATTCAAATGAGCAAAGCCATACCTGAAGCCATGTGCCCTTACCAGGGAAGGAGACCCTGGGTGACATCCAACAGAAGACTTTGTATCCTAGTCTGCCACCTATTTCCTGTCATACCCTGTAGTGGGTTGGTCTAGTGCTGATTATATTCAGTGCTAAATTCTGTACCCCAAGATCTGGTTGCTCCAAGACCAGTAGATCCTCATATATACCAGCTTCTGTTGTGTAAACCTTGCTCCTCCCCAGGTTATCCATGACTGATTAATAAAGATGCCCACAGCCTGTAGGCAGGAGATAGGCAGGTCTGGAACTTCCTGGGCTTGGGGTCTCAAGCAGGGACCATGAGAAGAGAAGGAGGACTTGAGAGAAGGAAGAAGTCACCATGGGGTAGGTGGTTCATGAGCCCATGGCCACGAGGGATGGCCCCTTGGAGTAGGAGTGGCCCAGGCAGAACATGGAGAGTCCTATCTCGGGGTTATTGACAGAAGTGGACAAAGTAGCATAGAGGACTGACGTCTGCCCAGCTGCAGTGCTTTAAGGCTCATTGTAAATATAAAGGTTTCGTGTCTTTTATTTGGGAACTAAATGATCTAAGGTGGTGTAGAGACCCCGAAATATTATTTACTACAACAATACCCGAAAGAAAGAAAGTCACACCCTTACGGAGAAAGTTGGATCAACTCTATGGATCAACACTATTTTCTCTTCCTTCCTTCCTTCCTTCCTTCCTTCCTTCCTTCCTTCCTTCCTTCCTTTCTTTCTTTCTTTCTTTCTTTCTTTCTTTCTTTCTTTCTTCAGAGAAGGTTTCTCTGTGTAGCCCTGGATATCCTGGAACATACTTTGTAGTCCAGGCTGGCCTCAAAGTCAGAGATCTACCTGCCTCTGACTCCTGAGTGCTGGGATCAAAGACCCACCCTACCACGCCACCAACACTGTTTTCTTCGTGTTAAGCAGGTGACATCAGGAGGGAGAGGCCCTGGCTAACTACATATGTTGATATGCAGAGGGGCTCAGCTCTGTTTCAGGTAGGAATGAGGCTGCTGGTCAGCAATGGGGGATTCTTGGTCAGAGTCCCAGGTGGTCCATGAGAGGGATGTAGGTGGTGGGCCAATGAGTCAGTTCCTTCTCATATTTTTCCTGATCCACTCCAAGTAGCTGCAGACTTTTGTGTAGACTCCAGGCTTGGTGGTAGTATCACAGGGGACATCACCCCATGATACAATGCCCTGCAGGGCACCCCTGCAGACCAAGGGTCCTCCAGAGTCACCCTATGGGAACAGGGAGGGGGGTTTTCCTCAGTGTTTCATTCCATGTAGTGAAAGGATGCACACTTGCTCTTTCTGCCTCAACCTCCCAAGGGCTGGGACAACAGGTATGCAACACCATGCCTGTCTTCTGTGGTGTTGGAGATGAAACCTAGGTAGCCCTACCAACCAAGCTACACCCCAACCCACTGTCACCCTTATTCTAACTAACTACTCTTCATTTAAATGAAACCCCAAGCCAACAGTAGCCCAGGAAACACCAACATTAGCCCAAACCAATCCAAGTCTCCTCTGGTTCAACACAATCCAAGAAAACTCAAACCTCCGTGTTCAGTACCCAGCCCCATGAAGTTCAAGTCAGATGCCTTCCGAAATTTATCTTCCTTATCCAAAACCAAACTAAACCTGGGCTCTCCAAACACAACTCAACTCTGATCTTTCTTATTCTTTACCCCTCCCACATACCCATGGCATCCAAAGCCAACCACAGTATCCTCCCCATCCTGAGTCAAATCAAACTCCCTCCCTCCATGCCTCCCCTACTCCATGCCCACATCTCTAACCCACTTTCAACCTCACTCTGATTCTAACTGATCCTGGAACTTCATCCCATACCTAAGTACAGCATTGTCTCTGGCCCAAAGCAAAGAAAATTCAAGTAACCCTTCTTGTCCTATTCTGTCTTAATTCAGCTGCCAACTTGACACAGGATCATCTGACGTGTCTCAATTGAAAGGTTGCCCAGAGCATGTCTGTGGGAAGTTGTCTTGATTGTTGGTCAATGTAGGAGGATCCAGCCCACTGGGAGTGGCACCAGCCCTGGGCAAATGGGCCTTGGCTGTATAAGAAATTGAGGATTGGACACGGACAGATAGGCAGGCGATTAAGAGCACTGGTTGTTCTTGCATAGGACCCAGGTTTGATTCCCAGCACCCACGAGGCAATTCACAACTATCTGTAATTTCAACCCCAAGGCTGTCTTCTGACTTTCATGTGATGCCTACACACATGTGATGCACAGACATACATGAAGGAAAAACATACACACATATGAGGGGTAGGGGGAGACTGAACAGGAGCCAGTAAGCAAGCCAGCAAACAACAACTCTCCATGGTTTCTGCTTTAGATTCACACTTGAGTTCATGCTTTGATTTCCCTTAATGGTGAACTGTAAGCTGTAAGCTAAATAAACTCCTTCCTCCTCAAGTTGCTTTTGGTTAGAGTATTTTATCACAGCAACAGCAAACCAAACTAGGATACACCCCATTCCCTCCTTTTACCCAAAGTCCCCTCTTGTCTCTAACCTCACAGGAGTCCGTGCCACCGCCCTCGACACCGGCACACACCATGGTAGGCAACACGCGACCTGGGTAGTCCTTGTTGCAAGATGCCTCAGAGATAATGCTGATGTTGGCACAATGCAACGTGTCGGGGAGTCTCACTGAGGAGGACAGAGGTATATTCAATCCCTTTGGTCTTTGTCTCCTCCATTCAAGAACCCCGGAGGGCAGCATTGCTAGAATTCCTATATCCAGTTCTATCTTTCCACTCACCTTGTGACTTGCGATTCCCTGTGGCCCCAGGGTTGTTGTCGGATAACAGTCCCCAGCCTGACACCACGCAGTCCTCACCGACTAGGGGGCAACGTGTGGGCAGCGCCACAGGACGCACCTGGGGTGTCAGCCGGGCAGGCTGGAGAAGTCGCAACAGCATGATGTCATGGCGGTGGGTGCGAGCCTGGTAGCCCGGATGTGGGATGATGCGAGAGACTGAGCGCAGTTGCTCTGGGCCATCGAATTTGCGAAGGTTGTGCTCGCCCAGACGCACTCTCATGA